ATTGGAGTTCGTTAGCACTCGCCAACACAGATTACAAAATATAGGGAGGAATTCTCCTCGGGACATTAAGCAATATTTGCAAATGTGTGCAGGTAAGTGTTGACTACCTGATCACTCTGACCAGGAAATGGTTCTCAGCACCGGTGTGATCTCTTTTTCAAAGTGGAAAACATGAATATTGTTGTCACCAGCTCATCGCGGGGAGGCACGGCGGAAGGGACCAGCGCAGACTGCAGCTCCTACGAGAGGAAATGGAAATCCAACTGACAACAAATATTCGTTGAGCACTACACTGTGCTAGGCACATGAGAACTAATACCTCCATGGCTGATAAAGCCTTTCAGAAGTAAGTCTTCAGTTAATTTGCCCGTTTTTGGTGACGATGGTATTGGTAACTCTCTGCGTCAATGAGAAAAAATGAGATTTGAAGAGGTTAATTGAACTGGGGAATCTCCTGATTTCTAGTTCTATGTCCTTCCTGAGTACTTTCTACATTTAGATGTTGGCATCATTACTCCTTGGCTGAGTTACTCCAAGAACCTCTGCATTCTCAATCGTTAAAATGGAAATACGAATGCCTACCACATACGGTTGTTGTAAGGATTCGGTGTGTAAAAAAAGCGAGACATGGTGCCGGACACATAGCAGGTCCTCAGCCAATGTTGGTGTCTCTCCCTTTCCTTCACTGACGTCCAACTGTCCACCACGGATAGCACCGCCAGGCGAGAATAACACGGAGCGATGTCCCAATGTGAAACGAGGAGACTGGCCAGCCAGGGCTCTGGGGTCAGGCATGGGAGTCCTCTTGGGCTGGAGGGGTGTTGTGTGAGGCCTGGGAGACATAGGGACTTGGACAGAGCTTAGCGGAGGAATGAGATTTGCATGGGTGGAGAGATGGGCAAAAGTTGAGCCAGTAGAGAGAACAAAGGCACCAAAGCAGGTGAACACAGCAGCTGTGTGCGAAGGACCCCAGTTGCTAACCAGTTTGCGAGGCAGCAGGCTAATAGTGAGGAGTGGAAGAAGGGCCAGGGGGTAGCTGAGGCTCTCCTGTGAGGAATTTCCATGCTCGAGGGTTTCAACTTGATCCTACAAGCGAAGGGGAGCCAGTGACGTTTTGTCAATTTGGAGCTCATCTATTAAGATAAATCTGGGGCCAGTGTGTAGAATGGACTGTCAGGGAAGAGGTCGAAAAACAGACAAATTTTATATTTTATACACACACGCACATGCAGTCTTTTTCATTTTATATATATATATATATATATATATATATATATATATACACACACACACACACACACATATATATATATATATAATCTACTAATTCCATTTTGAATGGCTTGGACATTAATTTTGCTCTTGTAATCGATTATAGAGGCTTAAAATGGCTGTGTTTTTTGCTTTTGTGATGTATTGTGGTCATATCTAGAATCCATTTGCTGTTAAATCAAGGATAAAACTCTCAATTACATTGTTGTTCCTACGGTACAGCATAATCTACTCTCAGGCTTTCCCTTTGCCATAAACTCTCCAGGAACGAAACTCGATAAAAAGCAGAGACTCATTGCATACGATGGTAATTAAATCTCTGCTTGACAAGTAAAAGAGCGGGACTGTAGGGACAGGTCATTTGAGGGAAAGAGAAACAGACTTCGATATGTCAGCAAAGCACACGGAAGTGGGATACCCGTCATCTGTTTTGGGGATATGGGATTATGATATATATTTGAGACAAACCAAAATCCCATCAGTACCCAAATGAATTGTACTTTCAGAATGCAGGCTGGAAGGCCAAGATCAAGGCGTCAGCAACTTGATTTCTCCCAGGGCCTCACTCCTTAGCTTGTAGGGGACCGTTCTCTCTCCATGTCCTCACGTGGCCTTTCTTCCTTCAGGTCTCTTCCTCCTTCAATAGAGACACCAGTCCTATAGGATTAAGGTCCACCTTTATGACCTTTTTTACCTATAATTACCTCCTTAAGGACCCCCATCTCGAAGTCACATGCTGGTTATGGTGGGGGGTGCGGGTCAGGACCGCAACATATGAATGGGAGGGGTGTGGAGGAGGGGACACAATTCGGCCCATAACAGGCCTTCCAAGGAGTTAGGGCTGTGGCTAGGCTATCCACCCAGATGGAGATACAAAGGAGGCACAGCAGGGATCTGTTAGCTGTGGGGCCCAGGGCAGGTTGGGGGGGGGGGACCCAGGAGCCCGACACCCAACACTGGGCTCCCGCAGGTGTGACCGGTGTTCCTCCGAATCCCGGCTGCCGGCCTGGAGATGTTTTTAAGTGTCCCCAGTTTCTGGAAAGGGAACTGAGCGTTCCCTGCGCCCCGGCTCCCTGTTGCCGAAAAAGCACGGGATGGAAAAACCCGCCTGGGCTGAGGACCGAGCGAGGACGAGCGGGCTCTTGGGGCTCCGAGCCGATTTAGGTTGCGGTGGGTGGCTGTGGTGATTGGGCCTCTCCTTGGTGATCGGTATGACCTGGAGGTTGGCGTCGTTAAGGAGAGGTTTTTGTGATGACTTCAGAAAATTACTGTAAATAAGACGGTATTTCGCTGTTTGTAATTTTATGCAGCTCATTAGATCACGGTCAGATGAAAACCTTGACATTTGGGGCAGGAAGCATGTGGCAAGTGGGGGCGGGTGGACTGCAGGCGGGGCTGCTGCCCCCCGAGAAAGTCATGCAAGGGTCTTACGGAAGGGAGACGCGCAGAAGGGATCTTTCGAAATCGATGCTGGTGACTTCCTCTTCCCGACAAAGTTCTCTACTCCTTAAACTCTGTCCTGCTGGACGATGGAGGCAGGAACAGAGACATTGGGGGATGGGAGGGTGGACTCTTTAGGACACGTGGGAGACAGGCGTGCGGTGGCGGCAGTGTTCTGATTAGATCAGGCCAGCGGAACACGCTGTCCTCTGCGGCCCTTGGCCCTGGATGTCAGACGAACACAAAGCCTTGACACGTCTACAGCCAGGCTGCGCTGTTTGGGCAAAGCTCTAAGTGTTTTTCTGGATGGCTCAGGAAAAGGCAGAGAGTTTTTTTCTGGGTTGCTCTTACACTTGGCCCAAAAAAAGCAGTCACCCAACACTGAACTGCAAAAAATGCAGACCTCTTGGTACCTCTTCTAAAAAAGAGCTTTGAAATGCATGCATATCTGTGCAACAAATTCCCACTGAAGATCTGTCTTGCATTGAAAAAGGGAGTATTGCAGCGGCAGCTAAGGGAATGGGCTTTCGGGTCAGGAGACCTAGGTTTAAATCCAGGCTCCGACACATTCTCGCTGAGTGACCTTGAACAATGAGATACCCTCCCTGGGCATTAGGATAGCACCTACCTCCTGGTAGTGTTGTGAGAAACACTCAAGCCACGGCTGGGGACAGTGACAGGCACGTGGGACAAAGAGAGCTCGTGGTCGTAATTACTGAACAAAGGCTCCTTTGGACATTTCACCAGGGATTAAGGGAGAGAGGAGACAGGGAGGGGGAGGGAGAGAGAGCGCGGCTCCGTATACCTACCTACTCGGCTGCATATACCTACCTAATCATGGTACCCAGCAGGGGAAGGGCTAAGTCGCTCTTAGGAAACATCACTGTGAACGCTATATGATATTAAACCTCTCTTCCGAGGGCTTAGTTGACAGACCACACATGTATTTCCTCTCCGAGTAGAATACGTTACATTTCCCTTTCTCTGACACTCTAGGGTCTTGAAAAATCCAGGAAACACCTTTACATGCCTTGGCCCAGATTCGCCTTCCTGTCCTCTTCATCTTGACAACTGTTCCCCGGCCAGGAGTAACTGACCTGCCGGCCCCAGCCCCTCCGGGTGAGAACTGCCATCGCCCGAAATCTTCCCTCTGCCCAGCAGGTGCCTCAAAGCTTCTGGGAGTTTAGACCTTAGAGCAAGGCAGTGAGCGGAAGCCTCTTTCTCCCAAGAGAAAACCAGTGAAGGGAGCCTTTGCATGTAAACATATATATATAAATACAAACCTTCGCAGCAACCAGGATAAAATTTAACGTGCAGAAAAATACACACACCAGGATGTTAAGCGCGGCAGGATGCAGGATTGTAAACATGGTTATGATTACAGTAATGCGGAAACCAAATAAAAACCGACAATGCATCGGCAGAAAAATTTCCAGAGTGTTAGCCGTGGTGGTGGTCTTTGGGCGGTCGGGGGGCGAGGTGGGGGGCGGGGGTAGTTTTCTCCTCCTCCTCCTCCTTCTTCTTCTATAACAAAAAGAATAAATACGTCTATTCTAATGCCCCTTTCACCTGAGGCTCCATGCGTCACCCATGGCCAGGCGACCCACCATCCGGAGAGCTGTGGAGGGGCCTGTCCCTCTCTGTCATATTTCACTCGCCCCTTTTCAGTTCCGGCCTCTGTCTCCTCTGCAGCCACGTTCAGTCACATTCTGGCGGATGTTCTTTCCTCTTCGGATCTTCCTGCATTTCCCCCTCCTCCTCCTTTGCCCTGTTTGGCTACCTCCTACGTTCTCACGCATCCTCCCTGCCACTCCCTTCGTTCTGGGTCCTTCCTCCAGTCCACCGTCTCTCCCCTGCCCTCAGGACAAAGTTCCTTCTGGTGCCAAGAGCTTCCTGGCTTGCCCTTCCCCGCCTTCCACCGGGCCAGCTTCAAGCCTCGTCCTTAGGCTCCGGAGCAACCTGTGAATATGTCTGCCACGGCACTTAGCACATTTTACTGAAATTATCTGTTTCTTATCCATCATATCCCCCAAACGGGAAAGGTCTCTAAGGGAAAAGACCGTGTCTTAGTCATGGTTGAGCCACCAATTCCAACCACAGTCCATGGCACATGATAGGTTCTCAATAAATACTGACTCTCCTCCCAAAGCTTTTCCATGGCTGACCTCTGAACGCAGTCCAAACCCTTAGCCTGAGGAACATCCAGAGGCTGATTGGAACCTACTTTGCTGTTTTATTTCCCACAGCCCCCCCACCCCCACCCCCGCTCCTGCCCAGCCCCAAGACCCCCAGCACTGCCATGCTGAATATCCACTTCCTCCCAAGCCTACCTTGGCCATAGTCTATCCACTCTTTTTCTCATATATGTGCCTCTCACTTCCCTAATTAGACTTACGTAAACCCCAAGCCATGGTCTGCAGGAAATTGGATCCCCCATGGTGTCATGTACAGAGGAACCTCTTGATGAGAGCTGTTGACTGGCTGCTGTTGGTCACTGGCTGGTGGGGAGGTCACTGGGCTGGGTGTGTCTGTTTTGGTTCCTGAGCTGCGGGTCCCTTTCTCACACGGTGTGCGCCTTGAGGGAGGGCCCTCGGACCTCAAAGGGAAAGGTTAGGTCGCTCCAACCCTCCCCCGACTGCCCTGCCTCTGCTTCCTTATTTCCTGCCACAGGACAGCAGAGAGGCCCTGTCAACAACTGGCTGAACCACCAGGACCGGTAGGCGAAGGACCCCACACCCCGCAGCCAGCATCCTGGCTGGTCCCCAGAACCACCCAGCACTCCAGAGTTTGCTGAATCTGTAGATAAACTCTTATTGTGCAGGGGGGAAGCATTAAGAAAAAGAAAAGCAGGTTTGTTTTCTTTTTACTTATCGGCTTCCAATAGCTCCCCTCTGAAGGCCGTCCAGGGCAGTAGACTGGCATTCGAGAACTCACAGGTTTTGTATCCAGATCTGTCTTTCATCAACCAGACACCATCCAAAGCCACCCAGCCTGCACCTTTCACTCACTTAGCAAGAACCGGGAGGATTTTCACACACTGAATACGTAGGCGAATTAATTAACCCAGTTGGGATTGTTGCGTATGTGACCTCACGTGCTCTTTAACAAAAGATGTCGGCATCCAGGAGTGGCTCTACCTCGTCCTGGTTTGCATCACAGGGGCTCTGGCTTGAGCCAACACGGAAGAATGTAGAGCACAGACCTCCTCAGCCCTGCGAGAACACAGGGCGACGTCACCGCCTCACCCTTTCTTGGTGTTTCTTCTCCCTCCATGGGTGTGACGTCAACAGGGGACCTCTGGCCTTGAAGAAGGGACTTGCCCTGTGGAAGAGGGGTTGGCTGAGGACTACTCAAAAAGGCATCCCCCTTTCCCCCCACCCCCAGTGAGTTGAGGGGAGCCAGGCTTGCATGGCTCGGGGGACCAGGACGCACTGAAGCGAAGAAGGGGATAAGACCCCTAGGGGCAGCACAGAGGGCAGTGGGTTCTCAGTTCTGGTTCTCCAACCTGGACCTTCAATTGTCCCCCATTGTGTGCAGATCAGGGCGGGCTCCTCACCCACCACCGCAGGGCCTTCAGGTGTTCAAAACCGGGGCATGGCCTCTGCTTAACTAGAAAGAGGCCTGGGCTGGTGACTCACGCGAACTCACCTGAGAATGTGCAGCTCTTTGGTCCCTGCCCAGACGGCCTGTCTCCCACGTACTGAGCCTTCTCCTTGTGTCTGTCGAGACAGCCTCAAAGCCAAGGGACCGAAGAGAGTAAACTTGATTTTTTTTTTAAGTTTATTTATTTATTTTGAGCGAGGGAGGAGCAGAGAGAGAGGGAGACAGAGAATCCCAAGCAGGCTCCGCCCTGTCAAGGCTGTGGGCACAGAGCCCCATGCGGGGCTCGAACCCACGAAACTGTGAGATCACGACCTGAGCTGAAACCAAGAGTCCGACGTGTAACCGACTGAGCCCCCCAGGCGCCCCAGGGCAAACTAGAGTTTTAAAAGCTGGACAGTGGTGAGCATGAGCCTCCTTGGGACGCGGTCTTCCTCCCTCGCTGGCTTCTCTCACCTCCAACCACCAATTTTTACCTTCTTGAACTGTTGAGGCTGTTTGTGACCTCCTGGGAGCAGCTTGTCCTCTGAACTTCTGCATTTGGAGCTGAGTAACAGCAAATCAATGGACGAGAAGGATCAGGTACCTAGTCTCACCGCCCTGGTCAGAGACAGATATAAGAGCAGAAATGCACTCCCTGGGATTTCATTCATCAGAGACACCTCGTCTGAGGACAGCACCGACTGTCAGCTAACCCTCCTCTCCCTATTCCTCAAGATCTCCAGTGTGGTATTTGGTCTCCTGGAGAAAGGAGAAATGTTTTCAACTTAGAGTTAATCTGCCTGGTCTCCTTCAGGACTGCTGCAGCCTGTCCGTTTTTAATGGGAAAGAAGTCCTGGTGAGTGTCAGAAGCCCTCTGTGCCGTCCAGATGCTCACGTAAAGACGGCCGCCATGATGGGGGCGTTTCACCCATTGGTCAAGTGCCAACAGTATACAGTGCAGGACAGAGATTACATGGATTGCCCAGCGAACAGGCTGACCATCGATGTGCCCTACGTGTCCCTGTGGGCACCCCCCCCCAAGTCGATATTTTAAAAGAAAATAAACACACCCAGACAACCATCTCCCATGCCTCTCCCCCTTCCCTTCCCTCTGATAATGGAAGAAACCCTTTACCAAGTTGTTGGCTGTTGGCCAAAGGCCACAGATCCTAGCCCTACACCCAGGGGCTGGGCTCACCCTTGAGACTGGGTCAACTGGAGATCCCAGTTGTCACCAGACCTCTCTTCACTTCTCAGCGACGCCTGTCACTGGATACATCCTGGCTCCCAAGTGGTTCTAGCTAGATTAGACCCAGTCTGAAGACAATTTGAGACTCTCGCCCAACAGCCTTTGGGAATCCTGAGCTTTTCCACTGGGAAAAGGGAGCTGCAGAAACCTGCCTCCCCCTGGGGCCCTACCCAGCACCCGGCATCCTGCAGGGTTGCCTGGGCCCCTCCCAGCCCCGGTCTAACCCCAAGTGAGCTGGCATTGGCTGGTCGGTCTGGTCTCACCCGGAATCCTTGTTTGCCTTGGCCTCTGTCAAGGAGGCAGGGAGCCCGAGGAACCAGAGGGTTAAGCAACAGCTTCCCAAGGGCGAATTCCTGCCTGGCGTATCTGATTCCCTAGCCAAGCCTGGGTAGTTCTGTTTCTGCTGATTCCCCATCATGCTGCACACTGCGTGCTGGTTCTCTCCTCTTGCCCGGATGCCCCCTCCCAGGAGAAGGAGCTCGGTCTGACTGCCACGGCCCAGATGCAGATCTTACATGGGTACGCTCCTGCCAACTGAATTCTCAGAATATAGTAGGGGCTATCCTTGGGGCCGTTCTGGAGTTCTGTTAGCCCTTCCTCCAAGCCCAGCTTAATCGACATGGCCACGTGTTATTTACGATACCCCAAATAGGCAAGTGCTTGATATCAGGGTAGTTTAAATGTCAGAGGGGCAGGGCCTGGCCTAACTCGTGAGGCTGGGACCTCCAAGGAGCAGATAAGAGCCTTCGTTGTCACTATGATGGCTTTGCCCAGTGTCACCCATCATTCTTCAGACCCTACCCCCCTCATGAGTGTTACAGGGTTGTATCTGATTATTTTTGCATATGCTTAGAAATGTATGAAAGACAGAGTTTCTCGGCCCTTCTCTAGGGCAAAGCTAATAGCATAGGCTGCAGCAAGCAGCCATTCTACCCCCATGAGCTGGGAGGTGGTAAGCTAAGGAAAGCCTGCTCCTATCTTCATTTTCACATGAGATTCTAGAACCTTCCGGGGACCACCTCTCTTAGTAAACCTGTCTCAGCATAATTGTTAACACCCCCTCTTGCTCTCAAAAGCGCCAGCTGGACGATGGGTTCTATAGTCATCCCACACACCGAGGACGTCGCGTTCCTTCTAGCCCTGGTAAGGCTGGCGGAGCTGAGGGTAAGAAAGGGAAGTGACTCGTCCAGGCTCACGCGGTGAGTCAGTAGCTGAACAATTTCAGAGAATCCAGGAGCTTTGACTAAGGTGCCACTCACCGCTGACCCCGCCCTGCGAAGGGAGTTGAAGGGACAGAAATTGGTTGAAACCGCACACCAGGGCCAAGAGGTGAGTAAAAACGGCGAGGAGACCGGCAGCAGAAAACATCCAGAAGACAAAAGGAATCCCTCAAGATGTGTTGGTTGCGAAGAGAATGCCCACATGCCCACGCAGCCAACCAGCTTTGGAAGACACCCAGGCGGTGGGTGCAAAATAATACCTTGCAATGAGCCGACCCAGCATAGCGGGGGCCCAGTAGCTGCCGGATGATGGGTGAACGGATGAGTTACAAGCCGCCCCAGGGAGAAGGGAAGCACGAAGGAGTCATTGCAGACAATCTGGGGAGACGGCAGGGAGGGAGCAGGACGCTCCCTGCTGCTGGCAGGTGGCACAGGGCCGTCCGGGCCAGTGTGTGCTCCGAAGGACCCCGGGGTTACCTGCAACCCTACCGCGGGGGGCGGCTTAGCGAGGTGAGCGTTAAGCCGGCTTCTGGAAGAGGAAGTGTGACCAGGAGAAAGAGGCAGGACAGTGCTTGGCTGGAACCCAGCGTGAATGAGGGATGTGTGGGGACAGTGGGCAGACGGGCCTGCCTGGGGCAGAAGCGCTGGTGGGAAGTGGGGGAGGGAGTGCGGGGGGGCGGGGGAGGGAATTCAACAGAGATGGAAGAAAAGAAACAAAGACTGTCTGCCCAGCATCCTCATTTTTTTGGTTTTCTGGGAAAATGGTGAAACTCTTTCTTGCAAGCAGCGATTATAGAGGGTAGGAGTAGGAGCGAAACCACAGGGATTTTTTTTTTTTTTTTTCAGGACCGAAAAAATGTTTTCCCCAAACTAAACAAAGTTAGATTGAGAAATTCAACATGGTACCTTAGGGACCGGGTAGCTCATTGCTACCCCGAGGCCCGCCTTCCCACAGGCGCCTGCTTCAGGCTCTAATGGCCGTCTGGGGAGGAGAAAAGGACACTTAAACTTTTCAAGATCCAGACACTTAGGGTTGTCTTTCGGCAGAGTCGTTTTTGTCCCCTCCTGGAATGGCACTTGAGCCCTCCGTGGTAGCACCTTTTGCAGGCCCTCAGCGGCACAGGTGAGTGTGCGCCCCGCCCCCCCTTACCTGCCCTGTGACCAGCCTTTTCCTCAAAGACACCTGGGAGCCTGTGACTTCAGTGTGGTCCTCCCCATTCAGTGCCCTCAGGGCTGGTGGCTGCCGTGTTACCTAAAAGGTGATTTCCCTCCAGATGGGGATTAGCGTCATTAAAGAAACAAAGGCATCCCCTAATTACAAGACTAAACTCTGCCTTCAAAGGGGGCTGGGGGGGACAGTGGTGCTGGGCCCTGGGTGGCCTTGCCCAAACCAGTGTTTCCGTGATTTGATTCACTGAAACCATTCATTTGTAGAACGGCCTATTTTTTATTTTTTTTATTTTTTTAAGTGCTGATTTCTTCCGCAGTTTTCTTTTCTTTGCTTTTCTTTTTAATGTTTATTTATTTTTGAGGCAGAGAGAGACAGAGCATGAGCAGGGGAGGGGCAGAGAGAGGGAGACACAGAATCCGAAACAGGCTCCAGGCTCTGAGCTGTCAGCACAGAGCCCGACGCGGGGCTCGAACTCACGAACCGCGAGATCATGACCTGAGCCGAAGGGGGACGCTCAACCGACTGAGCCACCCAGGCGCCCCTGTTTATTTATTTTTAACAAAAACGTAGGACCATTCAACCTTCTTTAGCAAATTGCTGTGGTTTTTTTTTTTTTTTTAAAGTTTATTTATTTTGAAAGAGAGAGCAGCATGGACAGGAGAGGGGCAGAGAGAGAGAGAGAATCCCGAGCAGGCTCAGCGCTGTCAGCACATGGACCCCCCCACCCCACGCAGAGCTCCATCTCATGAACCAAGAGAGTATGACCTGACCTGAAATCAAGAGTCGGACGCGGAGCCAACGGAGCCACCCAGGCGCCCCCAAGTTATAGTGAGTTTCGAGTGAATAAAAAGGTCAGTGGCCCCCCATCTCCCCCCCCATCAGAAACAATGTATCTGGTGATGGGAAACAGCACCCCCTCCCTCCGACTTAGGGGGGGAAAAAAAACCCTGCAACGGCTCCGTAAATTCTTGCTCTCAGCCATCTGATTTTTGTTAACTGCTAGATCTAAATCTAGGCAGGTCTTGTGCCTGCAAACCCCCTTAATTAGCATGATATCTTAAATTGTTTTTCAATTGAGGTAGCAGCCCTTCCGGTTCTTATCTGGGAAGCTGGAGGCCCTGAGGCCACCTGCGGGGGGGGGGGACGCACAGGGGTGAGATTTTCTCTGCGTGGCTCTCCCCTCTCCCTTCTCGCCCAGGCCCCTGCTGTGGCCTGAGCAGTGAAGAAGCCTCGGGTGGAAATCTGGGCCTTGTGCTGGGGAGGCCTCAGTGGGCCCAGCCTCCGCTGGAGAGAGGAGAGGGACAGGGATGTTTTGAGGGGCTTCCGCTCCTGCTCTGGGGCCTCTGAGTTGCCTTAGGGTGTGGGAAAACCCAGATCCTGCTTCTTCTGAAGTGCGGAGTCCCATTCTCAATGCGGGG